CATTAACTATTTGCGAACAATAATCTTAATCTAGATCTACCTCTACTCCTCTTAACTCCTGTTTCTGCCTCTAATATATCTCTACAATAAAGATGCATATTTTTTTTTTATTGTACACCTGAAAATTAATACTGCTACAATTACACGATGGTCATTTTGGACATTGGTCTTAATTAATGTTATTTTGAAGGTGCAGTTTCTCCGATATTAATGGTCCGATTTCAAAAGATAAAAAACAGTTGAACAGGGATTTAAAAGACCTTTCAAATGGTGTGCAGTTTGACCTGACCATTGACAGAACTATTATTAATTACGTTTGACGCTACAATTTACGTTACAGTCAATTTGATATCTCAATTTCTTTTCTTTTTCGTATTTATTCGTTCGTGTTGGTAGTACCAACACCACGAACGAATGGTAACAAGATAAGCACCCTTGCGGTATGGCAATCAACAAAGTGTAATAGCTCCAGCTCGTTACACGCTCGTTAAGCGTATAGCCGTCCTCATATGTCACCGGTTCGATGTATATGCGTGCGTGTCTGTGTGTGTATTTTGTGCACTCACAATCGTTACCAGCAGATTTTCACACTTGGGGATCACTAATTGTGTTCCTGGCCCATTATCGCATATCGTACGCCGTGAATTCATCATCAACTACCGAAATTCTATCAGCACACAAGTCGAAAATTAAATGGACATTGTTGGACGTAACGGCAAAATAATTTCATTGGATTGTTGATTTCGTGTATAGTTTTTCTTGATCCGAAAGCTCGCTGAAGAAGAGGCTAATGATAAGGGTCACAAACGCATGTGCCCATTGGTATATTTATTATGGTAAGGATATTTACATGATTATTGCTTGTGAATTTATTCTTACATACAGTAGCATGTTTATGTGTGGGCTGAATAGATTATAGCCCACGGGGCAAATATGTCTTCACTTTAATGTAAATACAGATTATGTTTAACTCGTCTTAAGTCGAGATTCTTTTTTATCTGAAAGCATCGACTTCTACCCCCCATAGTCTAACCAAGTAAAAAGGGCGATTATTATCCTGATTCAAGTCTATAGGCCGTCGTCGACTGGAGCTTCTTCAGCTGAAGCAGTTCGCCACTCGTGCTAGAATGCACCTCCAACCGACGACTGCCTTTAGATCGAACTCAGGACTGCATTTGTTTACCAGCCGGCCGCGAGTAGTCAGTGTCTACATTTTCAGGGAATCCTAAAGATTGTAAGTGTGGCCCCTAGTAGCATAACTACTGTCCGACCGAAAGTTCGGTTTCGGTCGAGTTTCGGCAAAAAAAACGAGTTTCGGTTTAGTTTCGGTTTCGGCGGCAAACCTGCCGAAACTACCACCGAAACCGAAACTGCGTTCGGGAGTTCTCGCGCTTTGCTCGGTCATGTTCGGCGCGTTAAATTAGTCTTTCACCTTTTGTTTCTGTTGAAGTTTAGTGTCATTCAACATGACGAATTAAGTTTAGAAGAAGTTAATTTGTTCTTAATTAAGATAAAAGTGATTTATTTTGTTTTGTTTATTACTTAAATATTAACTTCCTATACCTATTGTGATATTAGGTAACAATAACAAAAGTAATTTTATGTTTATTATATAAAAAAAGCATGAATAATCTTCAAAAGAAAAATGGGTCTAGTCTACTATACTTAACTCAAATAAACATCTCACCTATTTTAAGTATTTTTTAAGGCGCAATTAAAGTATTTCCTTAAATGAGGGGTTGTTATGTTGATTTTGATTTGATTACCAATAAGTGAAAATGTCAAAGACTGCAGAGCTAAGTGATTTAAAGATAATAAAATGAAACTGACTGATTATAATAACGTATTCTTTATTTTTCTCTCAAAACATGATCCTTATAAGGAAGTTTCGGTTTCGGTTTCGGTTTCGGCCGAAGAAACTATTTTGGCATCAGTGTCTTTTTTCCAATTAATACGAGTGACAAAGGTAAATATAGAAGAATTATTTGTTACTGAACTGAAGAAACTCTAACATAAAGATAGAAAAACTATATCTCAATCACCTCAAACAGAAAAATACAAATCATACTCTATCTTCGCAGCTGATGATATAATGCAAACACTACTATTAGTGTAGAAAAACTGCAATATTTAAAAAATGAAAATATGCCTGGTAGGTTTTCTTAAAAAATATTTTATACTTAAGTGAATATGTAAAGTTAAGTATTAAAAAAGTATTTTGAAAATACGTATTTTGCATTTTGCATTTAAAGTTCAAAAGGGAAATCTATTTTGTATTTTATAGTTGAAATAATAAATCAAAAAAAGTATTTGCATTTAAATTATTTTAAAAAACCATTTCGCACATCTCTGTATAGATATTACTTATTTGAAAACAATTTGGACAATTCAATTTGATCCATTTGCCAGATTTCGTTATTGATGGAATCATTCTCATCTTTCCAGAGTTAAATTACCTCCCGCATCGTTCTCATTTGAAGAAATTAATGTGGAAAGTCTTACGATCTTATTACCGAAGAGAAATGACAAAGATTATGGTCGTTCCTCTGCATTTGCAGGAATTAGATTCGCGGCGGACGAGAGAATTCCCGGCTGTTTATATTGAAGATGACGCAGTGCCAATAAGCTGTGGATAAAAGCTGATTTGGGGGTAAGTCGCTTGTAACCGAGTCCTTTTCCCGATTCCGGTGGCATTACGGTTCCCGGAACGGGGATATATTTTATTGAAACTGATGATTCTAGCCAAAGCGATACGATATGGCGCGATGCGGAAAGAAAGCAAAAGCAAAAATTGAAAGATGTTTTGTTTTTATTGCGGATAGGGTTGCTGACTGACACCCTTACAATTTTAGACATTGTAGTAACACCTTGGTATAATCATCGAAAAAAGTAGTAGATATTTTAAATTCTTGAACTAGTGTGATACATAAAAAACAATAAATAATTAAACTAACTGAATCTTAAAATGCGAATAGCGGTCAATTTTTCCAGCTTTATTTTTCCGGGTGGTCAATTTTCCGGCAAAAGAGAAATTCCGGTTAGGTTAAGGTGTATAACAATTCCCCACCCTCCTTCACCTGCCGGAGAATTTTCGTCCGGATTTTTTACTGCAGGGAAAAGGCTATCCGGAGAATTCGATGTGGAATCCATATTATACATTATGATTGTGGTATTAACTAAATATACGGTAATGTTTTTGTCTTATAGTCGGGACGTTCAAAATTGGCGTAGCCTGCAATAAAATGGTCGCATTTAAGTACAGTAAAAGTTTCTTATTCGCGTTTTCATTATTCGCGGACAAAAAAATTGCAACCCGGTTTTTGTATTCGCGCCTAAAAATTTCATTATTCGCGGATGCAATCGGTAAACAGAAAAGGATTCAATGTCATTTATTAAGGCGATTGATCGCAATAGACCGCTCGTGTCTAGTGTGAATATGGGTTTCTATTCTAAGATTGTGATTTAACGCTGCGATATAAATATGTGATTTTTTGTATGGTAACGAACAAATGTTCACACTAACTCGGTACGTTTTTGGTTTTCAGTAATATGGTCATTAAAAGCTTTTACAAGTGCTTAAAGTTGGCGCTTCTTATAGGACATGTATATTCAATAGAAATTAAAAAAATAAAAAATGGCCTTCGACAGGATTTAGAACAAAGCTTTATCTATCTTACTACAAAATTTCAAATCTTTGTTCCAAACATTAAACTCATGATATCTAGAACCGATAAGCATGTTTTACTCTACGGCGCATGTACTACTGAATCTCCTTAATGTATAGGCATCTTTTGAGTATGTACTGTAGGCTCGTGCCGAGGCGATCTTTATAATACATGTAACCGAGTGGACTAATTCAAAATTAAAAACAAGAAACAATCACTAAATTTTTTAAACCCTTGTCTAAAGCTGATTATAATGATTAATTTCAATTGCGAATTTCTCAATAAATTGATTTTTGATTGGCTTTATTTTGGAACTTTAGATCGTATCCCCTATGATTCCATACTAATTATCATTCCATATTTATACCCCGCGAATAAAGAGCTTTTACTGTACTTTCACCTTTCAATTTACTTACTAGACGAAGGGTTGTTGACAGAACGCCCACTTTAACTCACGACAGGCGTTATAGGGAATATCGGAACATAGAAAAGAGATGTTAGGTATCAATTGCAGGGGTCACTAATAAAGAAAAAGGAATAACATTACACCAATTAATGTGTAACAGAAAGAGATGCAGTCGAAACAGAATTTGAGCATCGAACTTTAAAAAAAGTTCAACATTCTCGGAAATTTAGGAAAGCAAAGACGTTTGTGTAAAGATGTAATTCCAAGCTGGCCCTTATTTTTTTCGTACCTCGAAACCTCTAACTGCTGCATCGCTTACTGTTACTGGGTTATCCTTTTTCACTTTGTCTGTACTATTCATGAAGAATTTCCCAACTTAACAAGGACGTGTTCATAAAGCAGCAAATGACTACAGCCCGAAGTGGAAGAAAGAAACACAATACTTTCATTCTCAGAGATAATTTATTGGGGACTATGTCAATTTTGATCGTTTCAACTATAGGTGCAATGGCCCACGTTGCTCGAGTCAGAATATATCACATTGAGGAAATGTTGCGCAACTTTTAAGGACATTCTCTAATTTTCTATTATAGAATTTTCGAAAAATTTTGAACAGTTGGAATTTTTTAAAAAAATCTAGGAAATTCTGGAAAAAATGGGTAAATTTCTATGTTCGGGAAACATTTAGCCATACCAGTTGGTGTACCTAGGTGTTAATTGCTTCAGTGGTTATCATTATTTTTAAAACATTTTAATACTGGAAAACCAATTATTTGTCAAACCTATAGCCCCACTTTCTCCCCCTGTTTAGTAATTATATCAAAATTCTCAATACCGTACTGTTTATCTAAATTGAATAAGTCATTATCGATTTCGTTCACCATAAATCTCCCAACTATACCTTCCACCATAGACATTTGTTTACCTACCTGAACTCGAGCTTCGGTTAAATTAATTTTCATCGCGAGATCTTCCCTTGTGAAAACATCAGGGTAGTGGGTTTGAGCAAACGCGTTTTCGAGTTCCTCCAGTTGTTGTAACGTGAATGTAGTCCTGTTTCGTCTCTGTTTTCTTCGCACGAAAGTGTCGTCGTGGATTGCGGGATGGTATGAGTAACTCGTGTCTGAAAATCAGTATACAAATAGGTTTAAATAAAACTACGAAACAAGCAAAGAACGCTGACATTTATGTTGATATTGAAACTATGACCGCGTAAATTCGCCTTAAAACATCAGTTTTAAAAGTTATGTTATATGCCTTACTAAATGTGACTGTAAACTTCATGCATATAAGCGGAACTTTTATTATTATGCAATGGGGTAGCAACATATAGCCAGTCGAGGTAAGATAAAGACATTGTTAAATTTGAGTAAAGGTTTTGATTCCATTTCTTTCCCTTTTCTGATTTTTCATAGTATGGAAATCAAGGGAAAGACTAGGGTTCACATAAAAGTTTATCAATTTAAAACCACAACGACGTTTCGCCTTAATTAGACTACAATTTTCGACCGTCTTTTCCACGGCTAACTCAGAAGGTCGCACGTAGTAATCCTAAGCATTATATAAACCGCATCGGGTTTGTTTTACTGTTTGTTGGCTCGTTTATAACATTTTAGGTCGAATATCTACAGTGCTACTAGGATTTTTAGATTCCGGATACTCGGATTCGGGCCTAGCGAGTCCAGATAGAAATACCCTGACCCGATACTCGGTTCAAGACTCGCTCATGATATTTTATGTAGTCAGACTCAAAAGTTCCTAGTCCACGTGGAAATACCCGATACTCGCTTCAAGACTCGCTACTGACATTTCAGTTCGAATACCTAGAATGCCAGTAGGGTGTCTTGACTCCGAGTACTCGAACTCGGACCTGCCGAGTCCAAGTAGAAATATCCTCACTGTATACTTGATTCAGGCCTCATTAATAGCATTTCAGTTTGATTGTCTGTAATGCTGGTATGGTTTCTTAATTCTAGGTAGTCTGACTCGGATCTGCCGAGTCCAGGTAGAAATACCTTCACCGCCCGCGAACTCCAGGTAGAAATACCCTAACCCGATACTCAAGACTCATTAATAGTATTTCAATTTGAACGTCTACAATGCCAGTAGGGTTTCTTAATTCTAAGTACTCAGACTCAAAAATTTTGAGTCCAGGTAGAAATACCCGACACTCGGTTCAAGACTCGTTAATGTCATTTTAGTTTAAAAACCGACAATGCTTGTAGGGTTTCTTGATTCCAGGTTCTAGGACTCGGACCCACCAAGTCCAGTTAGAAATACCCTATTTCCGATACTCGGTTCAGTTTGATAGTCTACAATGCTAGTAAGGTTTTTCAACTCTAGGTAGTCGGACTCGGAAGCACCGAGTCCAGGTAGAAATACCCGACACTTGGTTCATGACTCGTTAATGACATTTCAGTTTGAATACCTACATTGTTAGTAGGGTTTCGTGATTCCAGGTACTTGGACTCGGGCCCGCGAACTCCAGGTAAAAATACCCTTATCCGATACTCGCTTCAACACTCATTAATGGCATTTCAATTTGAACGTCTACAATGCCAGTAGGGTTTCTTAATTCTAAGTACTCAGACTCAAAAATTTTGAGTTCACTTAGAAATACCCGACTCGGTTCAAGACTCGTTAATGACATTTCAGTTTAAAAACCGACAATGCTTGTAGGGTTTCTTGATTCCAGGTTCTCGAACTCGGACCCACCGAGTCCAGTTAGAAATACCCTCACCCGATACTCGGTTCAGGACTTATTAATGACATTTCAGTTTGAATACCTACAGTGCTGGTAGGGTTTCTTAATTCCAAGTACTCTGGCTCGGATTGGCTATTACGTTTCTATGAAGTAAAGGGGTTTCACAAATGTTTCCACCTGTGACAATAATGGAGGGCTTAAAAAAATCGTAAAATTTGTTTCAAGGTAAATTATTGATGACCCCTTAATCAAAGTATTTTTTGAAGTTTCTGTCTTAAACACCTTGTATACACTTTTAATTAACATTGCATTGTATTGACAAAACATAGAGACAAATTTAATGAATTACAAATGTAATTCGTCTACTTCCCTTCGTTTTTAATTTCTGTTTGTGAAACTTTAATAGAAGCCAGATTACACATTAAAAATAAAAATTAGCAAAAAAGCAGCGGTTGAAACGTATGCATACGGTGGGTGTAGTATTCGAATATGGCTTCGGCTTCCGTTGCATGCGAAATGTAGTTAGTTTTTCAGCAACGTTTGGCGTTTAGGTTCGGTAACGGCATTAACGAAACAGAGTGAGGATGTATTAATTAAACTCTCATGTTTATTTCATGGAAATTCTACTTTTAATCCCATAATCTTCTGCATCCCCGCGAATTAAAACCGCGCAAACATTGCTTATTTCGAATTCATTAAATATGTAACGGTTTAGCGTTGATTTGTACCGAAGCGACGCGGCGCGGCGCGTTGCGACCAGTTGGGGATGAAGGGGGTGGGAATGGAGTAACGTCGTCGTCGCGGCGCATAGTTCAACTGTTTCGAGGCAAACCCTTTTCGAGTGCGTTTCGTTCCCACCCCCTACAAGCGACGCCATCGCCATCACAATCACCTCGGATGATTTGAAAATCATTTGAAAATACAATAACTAGACAATTTTATTTTTTGGTTGAATCCATGTAGATCAAGCACTTTTAGTGTTTCAAGCCCGAATCGGCAACACGGAACTTTAATTATGGAATCACCCCGTCGGTATGATTGCGATTTCGATCTTATCGACGCTAATGAATAGTAAGATCGAAATCGCTATCCGCGTCTGGCAGTTTTACTAGATTTTCCAACGTTGATTCTGATGAACAAATTGAAATATCGCAGTAAGGCCTTATCTAACGATTGAAATACTTCAATGGCAGCTAATACCCACTAGATGCGTCTAATTAAAAGATAGTGGATGGTAAATTGATTGTTCTGCTGGTTGAAGAACTGATACTGTTCTGATTCCACTTTAAAGGACGTCATCAGTTGGAATTGCTTTCTAACGTTTCGCTAGCGTGAGTGACAAACTTCTTCAGAGGTCCTTCCATCTCCGATGTGCCTATAGACCCGAATCGGAACGATGTCCAAAGTCTTATTTCAACCATTTAATTAGAATTTTTAATTAAAAATCCCTATTTCTACATGCAAGTCCAAGGCTGTCTTTAAACTAGAAAGACCAAAGCCAAGACCAAGACTAAAACCAAGACCCAATATGCTGTTTGAAGTATATATTCTTTTCTTGGAACAAAACATTTTTTGTATTTNAATTTAGAAGAATCCTTGTTGTTTACATGGTTTAGACAGTGTAGAAATATGTAAAAATAAAAACCCTCTATAACTTAAACGAATAATTTGGGTATTGCACCTTAGTAAACCGTGAAAAGTGGTTTGAATCAGGAGAAAGTCTTCTATCTATGTAAAAGACGAGGAATTGCTAAATTTCCTAATTTAGAAAAATGCTTTTTTACATGCTTTAGACAGTGTAGAAATACGTAAAAACATTACTGTTAGTGGACATATACTAAAGGAAAAAAAGTTTGCGAAGTCACTAGAAATCCATAATTTTAAAGCTTAAACTTAAACTCTTAGCAAATAAAAACCTCAATAAGTCAAATTATTTTACGTTTCTCTTGATCTTTATCTTATCGGGGTTCTACTGTAGCTACAGACAACGTAGTATATACCATCTATAGAGATTTTCCACTAATTTTGGATTCATAAGGTGTCTTTTTTAATTAAAGATATACATAAACTTGGAAAGTGAGTTCAGTGGGCACAGGGGCAAATGTATAACCAAAACAATGACCATAACACTCTTCGAGATTATACTGGATATTGCTTTTGTGAATTTGATACCAGGTACCTAATGTTTTTATGCATACTTTTAATTTTGAAAAAATTGTTGTGGAACTGCAATAAAATGATCGTGTTTTCATTTTTCTAATTGCAATTATAAACAAGAATATTCAGAGTGTCTTTCGGAGAAGTTTATGAATTTATAGCTTTTCTTTTCTCGCATTTTTACAAGATAATCCACTTATTCCTGAGCAAAATTTTTCAATTAACTTAACCAAAAAGACGTTCCTTTTTCATTACCATTCGTAATTCTTTCTTCTTTCGTAAATAAAACAAGAAACAAATTCACTTTTCGTGCCCGTCTTTTATTATAACCAGGACTCCCTATTCTTCCTAACCTAATAATATTCTCAAAATTATCTGTGAAATGGAGAAAAACGAACTTAATTTGAAAGAACGTTCATTTCGTTTGCAATTTTAAGCCGGACAGAAAATGAAACTCGAAGCATTCGAATGAAAATTTGGTTCTTAGGGCTTCTGGTCTAAATGGCGCGATGCTGCTTATATGCTTTGTTATATTAGCAGAAGACGAAAACTAATCCAGGCTCATATTTAAAGAGATTTGAAGATGTCATTCTCCGTAATGAAAATATTTTATTTGAAAACACCATTATTAAGGACGTGGGTTGTTCCAGTTTTAAGGAAATGCGAAGATTAGGTCAGAATAGGAAAGAGTGGACGTGCGTGTCTAACCAGTCTTAGCCCGTAGGAAAAATTTCCATTGAAATTCAATGGGAATCGATGGAAAATTTGTAAATTCCATTCAAAACCATTTGGCATAAATGGAAAAATAATTGTTTCCATTTACAATATAATTCCTGGCCACATATACTATTAGCCTTTTTCGATACAGTTTTTGCTTGCCCAGGTGCAAGAGTAGTGATATTGCCAATTAGGTGGTGGAAAATCAATAATCTAGTTTTACCTATGCNATTGAAACTATGACCGCGTAAATTCGCCTTAAAACATCAGTTTTAAAAGTTATGTTATATGCCTTACTAAATGTGACTGTAAACTTCATGCATATAAGCGGAACTTTTATTATTATGCAATGGGGTAGCAACATATAGCCAGTCGAGGTAAGATAAAGACATTGTTAAATTTGAGTAAAGGTTTTGATTCCATTTCTTTCCCTTTTCTGATTTTTCATAGTATGGAAATCAAGGGAAAGACTAGGGTTCACATAAAAGTTTATCAATTTAAAACCACAACGACGTTTCGCCTTAATTAGACTACAATTTTCGACC